GATCCCAGAATGAGAGAGACTTATATTTACAAATCCTACAAATCCTATCTGCGAACAGCTTTTCTTTCTCTAAAGGCAATCTTTCAAAATCTAATTTGAAAAAATTATAACATGGATTCATTCCCAGTTTCTAGATACTAACACACACACTATTGGTTTAGATTCTTTTTGGGACACAGTAGTCCAAACTAATGAAAACTTTTCTGTAACTAAGTTTCTACCTCTACTTCACTCAACTACTAAAGCAGTCGAAAAGACAAATTCTCTGCAGCTTCCTTCTGCTGAGGAAATTCCACCCTTATCTTTCTCAACAGACACTGTCCCTTCAAATGCTAATTTGCCAGATAACATTCCTCTCTCAGTCCCTGGGACGGGGAACGCAGACATTGTACCACCCCACCCACCCGCGGGGTCCGTGGAGCCCACCCATCCCTCGCTCCCCCTCGGACGCGGCGAGCGCGGATTCCGCTCCCCGGTCCCGCAACACGCGGCGCGCTGCGCGCCCCGTGCCCCGCTCAGTGTTGGGCTGTACCTGTGTCGGTTTCCATCGGGAACGCCCTGCCTCACCTCAAAACCTCCGCGCAGCCCCCGTGACTCCCCCAGCCCTGCAGCCGTGCCTCCCAGCCCCGCTGCGGCTCTCCCCAGCCCGCTCCCATCCCTGCCTGCCTGCCCGCCGCAGCCCCGCCGTGATGGCAGCAGCTCCCCCAGCCCCGCCGCCTCCTCTGCCCCGCTCCTCCCTTGCCCTCATCCCCAAGCGCTGCACCCACCCACCCACCCTCAGCGCCCCCCGAGCGGCACCTCCGAGACCCCCACGGGGGCACCCCACTTCCCCACGCACCTCAGCCCTGCGCAGGCTGTGCCACAGTGGCGCTGCCATTGCCGCTCCACTGCTGCCTCCCTCTAGCCAAGCCCAGCCAGCTGCCCCCTCACACTCTGTCCAGCCCCCCACACCCCTGCCAACCCTCGCTCCAACACGCCCAACAAAGCGTAGTGCACCTCCTGCTCGCTCTCACTCCTCCTCTGAGCACAGTGAGTCCGATAGTGACATAGAGGACACTGATCCATGGGCTCTAATCAAAATGGAAGCGACTCGGGCAGGGGATTGGGAACTAGCTCAGAGAATTTCTGCCTTCCCAGCAATTTATATAAAGGGGAAAAGAGGTGGGGCCACCACTAAAACAACGTGGGAACCTAACACAAATAAAGAACTGGTACAACTACGAAATATAGCCAAAGAACATGGGAGAAGTTCACATATTTTTAGAAATTTTCTGGAAGCTCTCTTTTCAGCACATATTTTGATACCTTACGATGTTAAAAACATTGCCCACTGCCTTCTTTCCCCGGCAGAATATATGCTATGGGAAAGGCATTGGAAAAGACAATTAAAAACATTATCAGGCACCTATGCTCAAGATGGAAATAGGCCAGATTTTACAGTCCAACAGCTGGCTGGAGAAGGGGATTTACAGAAACCCTGTGACCAAGCTAACACCTTACCTCAGGAGCACTACAAGACTTGGCTATTGCAGCAAAAACCTCCTTGCTCCTTACCCCAGATGACTCTACCCCTACCCAACACTTCTCTAGTATTAAACAAGAAGTAGATGAAAGCTTTATCAAGTTTATAGACAGAACTAAAGATGCTCTGGAAAAACAGATAGAGAGCACAAAGGCAAGAAAAGAACTGTTGTGCCAGCTTGCCTTATCAAATGCAAATGAACAATGTAAAACAATTCTGAGGGCCCTACCCTTGGACACAGAACCCACCAGAGAGCAAATGGTGGAAAGCTGTACACGTCATCTGTTCTCTGAAAACACAGTGGCCCAAGCAGTAGCTAAGGGTATTGCAGAAGGAGTTTCTGGTGCAGTTGCAGCAGTAACTTCCAAAGACCAGGCCTGCTGCTATCACTGTGGGGAATTTGGACATTTTATAAAGGACTGTCCAGACAGGTCACCTACCCAAAACCTCCGTAACATCTACCAAAGACCCCAGAACCAGCAGCGCTACCAGCAGCGTTTGGGAAACTTCCAGCAGAGCGCAGCCAGGCCCCGCGCAAAGACAACAAATCAAAAGCCACCCAGATCCAGCCATGCATCATCCCAGGAGATCCCAGGCCACATGGAGAGGATCCAACCCACGGAGCGATACAGATGGGAACACAGCGCCAGTTGGTAACTGCTCTGTCTATTGACTTTAATAATAAGGATGTTTATTGTGTTCCCACAGGCAAGCATGGGCCAAAATGTGGTTCTTTTGACATTTTAATTATAGGTGTCCATAGCCCAGAGGAAATCTTTGTTGTTCTCAAGGTACAAACAGTGCACCCAGGACAAGAAATCTCGGTCCAGCTGTGCTGTACGGACTCACCATTTTTCCTTTCACGAGGAATTCTGATCGCACAAGCCTTTCTACTCCCAAAGAATCACAGGGAACAGCTTCCTCTCAACCCTACAGCAATGTGGGCACAAGTTGTGGGACCAAGTGCGATCTGTCCTACAGATGAGGGAAGATCCACCTCCCAGGGATGCTGGACACTGGTGTGGACGTGACCATCATTGCTCGCTCAGAATGGCCGGCACACTGGGAACTACAACCAGTAGCAGGAATGATTTCAGGGATTGGTGGAGCCACAGTGTCCATGCAAAGCAAGCACAACATCCTCGTTGAAGGGCCTGAAGGCAGGCTGGCAACCATCTGCCCATTTGTGGTAAGAGCCCCCATCACCCTTTGGGGCAGGGATGTTCTATCCCAATGGGGAGTTTTCCTATGTATTCCCAGTCAGGATTTCTGACTGGGGCCACTGAGGAGCACACACTACCAGATACCCCTTGGCTCACGTGGAAACGCCAAGACCCAGACTGGGTTGACCAATGGCCCCTCTCTAAAGTAAAACTGCATGCACTACAAGCCCTTGTGGAAGAACAGCTCGCCAAAGGTCACATCGTCGAGACCACCAGCCCTTGGAACTCTCCAGTCTTCTTATTGCAAAAACCTGGAATGGACAGGTGGAGGCTCCTCCACAACCTTCACAAAATCAATGAGATCATCGAGGACATGGGCCCCCTCCAGCCTGGCCTGCCTTCACCATCGATGCTGCCTCAAGACTGGACACTTGCCATCACAGATATTAAGGACTGTTTCTTCAGCATTCCGCTGCACCCCCAGGACACTCCATGGTTTGCTTTCTCTGTTCCCTCTCTTAACAGAGAGGCTCCACTCAAAAGATACCATTGGTTGTATCTTCCCCAGGGATTGAAAGTCTCGCCTACTATATGCCAGTGGTACGTTGCTCACATCCTGTCTCCTGTTCAGAACCTATTTCCAGATGCAATCATCCACCACTACATGGATGATATCCTGGTCTGTGCATCAGAAAAAACTTACTTAGATAAAGCAGTTAAAAAGACAATTGAAACCATAGAAAAGTCAGGATTCGAGATCCATGAGGACAAAATACCCAACCCATGGGCTTATCTTGGATTCCAGATCCAGGAAAGGACCAGCAGCTCGCCATCCACGATGGCCCAAAAACCCTGAGAGACTTACATAATCTGTGCAGATCCATCAGCTGGGTACATCCCCTCCTAGGAATTACAACAGAGGACCTCGCTCCCCTGTTCACCCTTCTCCATGGCAACGAGGACCTAGACTCTCCACGCCTGCTCACAACAGAAGCCCGAGACGCCATCACCAAGGTCCAGGAAGCCCTGTCTGCACGCCAAGCCCATCACTTCGAGCCCAAGCTGCCTTTCCAGTTCATTATTCTGGGAAAAGCACCCCGGTTCTACGGACTGATTATCCAATGGGATCTTCAACTCCGAGACCCTCTATTGATACTGCAATGGATCTTTACAAACAACAAACTTTCAAAGACAATTACCACCTTCCAAGAAATCATGGGACATTTAAGAAAATAAGCCAGAACTTGCCTCTGCTCCCTTGCTGGGTGTGAGTTCACATGCATATACTTGCCACTGACCACTGGAGACCTGGAGCATTTGCTCCAGACCAATGAAAACCTCCAATTTGCCCTAGACTGTCGCTATAGGACACGAGAAAGCAAACGCGAGCTAATTGCTACCTTGCAAGGCAAAAAAGAGCGCGTTTATTTTCTGACTCTAACTTTTATACTTCTCCAAAGGTGACAGTGGATTGGAGAGTGAACGGGCCACCTCTCCGAAGACATTGGACAAAGCATTAGTACATCAAGTCTCTCCACCCCCATGGAGGAATGCAAAACAATACGTTATTTACAGAAACTGTGTGGGAAAGTTTCCCAATAGAATGTAAATTCAGAAGGCTTAAGAAAACTCAAAAATCAGAGCAACACTAGACAGCTATACAGGCCAAATTTCCATCCACATCCCAAAACACAAACTTTTTAATGCAGTCTTTAATCTGACCCCAAAATTAGTCCAAAGTAAAACACCACTCAAAGCTCTAACAATTTTTGCACACAGCTCAGGGTCATCCCACAAGGGATGTCGACTGATAAGTGTATGTATTTTGACCTTCCAAAAGTTGGGAAGTGAGTTACATCTGTCTGCCACGGATGGCAGCTGTTCAGGCCTCGGGGATTGGCTCCTGTCCCCATAGATGGTATCTGGTAATTTTGACAGTTCAAGCATGTGGCCAAAATAGCTTTTGCTTGATCTTTTGAAAGCTTGAACATTCTGTTGAGGGCAGGTATATTTTGATAGTAAAATGTGTGTGACAACTTTGCCTGGGCAAAGATGTCAGGGACATTGACAGTTTCTATTGCCATGGCTAATGCGTCCGCTTTCCTGTTCCCTTCTGTGATGAAACCTGGCAGATCGGTGTGTGACCTCACATGCATTGTATGGTAAGGTTGCTTTCTGTGAGAGATTGAGCATGTTAATGCCAAAATAAGTTTGTGTAACTTTGGATTGGAAATCTCTTTAAGAAGAGTGTGTTCTGCTCTCATAGCTATACCTGCAACATACGCCAAATCTGTGAGCAGATTAAAGGGTTTGTCTTCGAATTTCTCAAAGGCTCTGACAACAGCTGCTAATTTTGCAATCTGTGGAGATCCCTTGAAGGACTTAAAAGTAGAAAACAACCCAGACTGGGTCAATGACCTTTTCGGTCAGTAGGGATTACCGGGATGGGTTCCATCTTTGGTTAAGGGAATTTTGTGGATTTTCATTCTAATTGTCATTGTGTTAGCTATGTTCTCATGCCTTGTCCTCTGTTTTAAAAGAACTATAGGGCATGCCTTTTTACTAAATACAGCAAGTGGAGTTGTAGCAGTCAGAGGCCCTGCAAGGCCTCCCTGGCGGTCACTCACCTAAGATAAGAAATGCCTAAGTCACGGTGACTGGACCAAAGAAGCCCCTCTTCTGCATTCGGACCCTTCTTATCTCTCTGTAAGGCTATTGGTCGTATTCTTCTCAACTCTGGCAACTGGACAATTTCCAACACACCCCAGTACCCTATATAAAAGCCCATTTCTACCCAGTTCAGCAGAAGAACTGTCACTGCATCCCTTCAGAGGAGCTGGCAATAAAGGACATCGCTGTGGAACCGCATACAGCCTTTTCCTCTCTCTGTCCCTGTGTGTCTGCCAGAGGCACTTGTGAGCACAGAGCGAAATCACTGAGAGCTGAACTCACAGAGCTGAAATCACTCCAGAGGTGCTCGCTAAGTTGCCTGTGGCTGGGAGCTGAGCCGAGGGACCCAGACAGGCTGAGCCTGACAGCGCAGCGCTATCCGGACACCCACGGCAGCGGCAGCCCGGGGGTCAGATGGACCCCTGGGACCCCAGGCTGCATTAACCAGGAGTGACTGGGATCACAGAGGAACCATAAAGGAAGTTACTGCAATAATACTGGGACTATCTGGGAGTGACTGGAATCATACTGGGAGTGACTGGAATCATACTGGGTGACTTGGAGTGACTGGGACCTTACTGGGAGCAAATGGTACCGTAATGAGAGTGACTGGGTTCATACTGGGATCATACTGGGAAGGACTGGAACCATACTGGGAGTGCCTGGAACTATTATAGGGGTGAATGGGAACACCTGGGAACATGCTGGGATCACGCAGGGAGTGACCGGGATGATACTGGGATCACACTGAGTGTAACTGGAAGTGACTGGGACCATACTGGGGGTGACTGGGAGCCACAGGGCCCATGCTGGGAGTGGCCTGGGGGGAGCTGGGGGAACTGGCCCAGCTGGGGCTCAGGGTTGTTCTCCCCCAGGGCTGCCCCAGGTCCTGCTGCCACCCCTGGCCCCACAGAGCTGAGGGACAGGGGACAGCTGAGGGACAGAAGACAGGGACAGGGGACAGTTGACATGGACAGGGCACAGCTGAGGGACAGGGCACAGCCAGGGAACACGGCCTGGCCAAGGGACACTGAGCCCCAGCACTTTGGGCTGTTGCCCTTGGGCTCCCAGCACAGGCCCAGGGGCAGAATCCCCTCCAGAAACTGTTGTTTGCTTTCAGCTCTGCTCTGGAACATTCCCCAGGAGCCCCTGCAGTGGCTGCAGCCCAGCCGGGTGCCCGGGGCCACCAAAGCCGCTCCGGCAGTGCCCTCCTGCCCCGGGCAGGGCACGGAACACCCAAGGAAAGGCTCCTGCTGGGCTCAGGGCAGGGACAGGGCACTCCCCTGGTGCTGCCACGGGCACAGCAGAGCCGGCCTGGGCAAAGGATTGGGATTGATGTCCCATGGAATCCCAGCAGGGATTACTTCTCATTGCACTGCTCTCATTGGATTGGTTATCAATTCCAATCATTTCCCCATGGAATTCCCATGGCAGTGGGTTAGGGAGGAGATCCATCCATGGAATTCTCACCTGACTGGGGTGAGACTGAGATCTGGCCATGGAAATTCCATGGCAATTCCTGCATTCCCAAGTCCCCCATTCCTGAGTCCCCCATTCCCATAGGAATTGCCCTTCCCCTCCTACACCCACCTTTGTGCTCCAGAGCCCCCCGACCATATCTGATGTATTTTGGGGGCCTTTCCACACAGGTGTGTCCCAGGTAATGCTTCATCTGCTCCACCATGATCCCTCTGGATTCCCAGCACCTCTGGGTGATCCAGGTGGCACCGCTGGACACTGCAAAGCTCCCAGATCCCAGCTGGAAGGAGATGAAATCCCAGCCCTCGTAGCTGTACTGGTGGGATCCATGGACGCTCTATTGGACAGGAGGTCACAGCTGGAAACCCCCTGCACTGTGTGGAGACCTGGGAACGAGGAGAGAACAGACCCATGGAGACATGTCCCAGCCCCAGGGAGCCCCTTGGAGCTCCCTGGATTCCCATCCCAGCCCCACAGATCCCCCCCATCCCCAGAGATCCCATCCCAGCCCCTCAGAGTCCTCCATTCCCACAGATCCCAGCCCAGCCCCCGGCTCCCCCCACTGCCCCTGCTCTGGTTGTACCGGCCCCGTCTCCAGGTCACTGTCAGCCATGGGCCAGTTCCCGTCTTTGAGCTGGGTCTGGCTGTCCCAAAATCCCAGCTATGGCTGTCCCAGTGTCCTGGGTATGGCTATCCCAATATCCCAGTTCTGGCTGTCCCAATATCCCAGCTCTGGCTATCCCAATATCCCAGCTCTGGCTATCCCAATATCCCGGCTCAGCTCCCGCCCCCATCCCCGGTGTCTGTGCCTCCATCCGGCCCCACTCGCTGCCGCAGCGCTCGCGGGGGGTCCCGTCCACGTCCCCCACAATCAAGGACTGGGGGACCCCCGGGCCGGGCTCTGACAGCGCCACTTCCAGGAACTGCAGGGAGTGGAGAACTGGGGGGACACAGAGATTTGGGGGAGCTGAGGGGGCTGAAAGTGAGAGTTTGGGGATCCAGGGGGGTCCACAGGCCAAGGAAAAGGGGGACATGAAGAGTAGGCAGGGCTGGGAAGGAGGTTCAGGGGCTGAGAGCCAAGGAAAGGGGGTGCAGGGACTGGGAGAGCTGGGATGGGGTGTCCAGGGAATCCTGTGCCCAGGAAAGGGGGTGCCAGGGCTCCTGAGTGTGAGGAAAGGAGGGGCTGGGGGCTGGGAAAGGCAGGAATGGGGGCCCAGGGGTCCCAGGTCAGGGAAAAGGGTGGGGCTGGGGGCTGGGAGAGGCGGGGGCTGGGAACAATTTGTGTTGGTGCCGGATTAAGGGGTGCAGCGGGGTCTCAGTGCTGGGCAAAGGGGTAAAAGGTTGTCTCGGTTCTCAGGAATGGAGGTGCAGGGGGGTCTCAGGGTCATGGAAATTGGGGAGCAGGGATGGAGAGGTAGAAAGGAATTCCAGGGGGTCCTTGAGCCCAGGAAAGGGGAGTCCAGGGTTTCCCAAAAAGGGGATACCAGGGTGGGACACCCGGGGTGTTCGGAAAAGGGGTGTTCCGAGGGTCTCTGGTTTTGCACAAAGGTGGGGCTTGGGGCTGGGAAAGGCAGGAATAGGGTTCCAAGGCGTTCCAGGGCGTCCAAAGGTCAAGCCCAGGGCAAGTCTGGAGGATGGGAGCCATGGATCGGATGGCCAGGAAAAGGGGAGCAGGGGATCCTGATGTCCGGAAATGGGGGATTCAGGGGGGTTCCTGTGCAGGATAAGGGGAGCAGGGGGGGTCCTGATGTTCAGCAATGGCGGTTCCTGGTCCCGGTGCCGGGGGTCCCACTCCCCCTTGCCCGCCAGGAGCGCCCCCAGCCCCAGCGCTGGAGGAACCGCGCTGCTCCTCCTCACTCCCAGTATGATCCCAGTATGATCCCAGTAGAACTCAGTCACCCCGGAGATGCTCCCAATATGATCCCAGAACAGCCCAGTCACTGCCACTCCTGGCATCCCCCCCATGCCTCTCTCCGTTCCAACCTGTCCCGGCTCCATCCCCGCCCCTCCCGCGGCTGCGGGGAGGAGGAGGAGGAGGGAGGAAGAGGCGGAGCGGCAGCGGGAGCAGCAGGAGGAGCGGGGAGGATGAACCGCGGGGCTCCGGCTCCGCCTGAACTCGCAGCACCCCGGGAGCGTCGCCCCCATCCTGCAGGTACCCGGGGAGGGGGAGCTCGCCCAAATATCCCGGGGCTCCCTGGGTTTGGGGTTTTTGGGGGGATGTTTGGAGCTGGCAGGGCTCCAAAGCCGAGATGCAGCCGGCCCTCGGGGGACATCGGGGGTCCCCGGGAGGTGTTTTTGGGGGGTCCCGGTGCGGGTGGCGGCAGAGCCCCGGCGGGGCCGGGGGGATGCGGGTCCCCCCGCGGTGCGGGTTGGGCTTCCCGGCCGGGCCCTCCGAGCTCTGCCGGGGCCGCGGGGGGACCCCGGATTTGGGGAGCCCCGGGAGAGCCGCGGCTTCCCTGGGCGGGACCCCAGAGAGAGGAGAGCCCCAGGAGCCCCAGCGGGGACCCCGAGAAGGGGGGACCCCTGGCAGTGCCGGCACCCGGCAATGGGGGTGCTGGGGCTGGAGGGGTGGCATGGCCGGGAAAGGGGTTCGGGGGTGCTGGGGCCAGAAATGTCTGCTCCCAGTATGAGCCCAGTTGCTCCCCCTGTGTGCTTCCAGTTTCCCGGACACTCCCAGTATCATGCTGGTCACTTCCCCTCACTCCCTGCACGATTCCTGTTGCTCCCAGTATGAGCCCAGTCCCTCCCAGTCATTCCCCATTATGATTCACTTTGCCCCCAGCAGTGTCCCAGTTACTCCCACTTTGATCCAGTGTGTTCCCAGTTCTCCCAGCTGCCCCTAGCATAGTCCTAGAAACCCCCAGTATGATCCCAGTCTCTCCCAGCAAGGCCTCAGTCACTCCCACTTGGCCCCAGCGTGTTCCCAGTTCCCCTAGCACGCTCTCAGTTGCTCTCAGTCTGGTCCCAGTCCCCAGCTGTATGGTCTCAGACACTCCCAGTACATCCCATTTGCACTGACCATTCTTGCAATCATTCCCAGGCACTCCCAGTTACCTCAGGGTCGTTCATTTGCCCCCAATTTTCTCCCAGTTGCTCCTAGTTCCTCTAAGTGTGTCCCCAGTTGGCTCCCAGCATGGGCCTGGTAGCTCCCAGTAAACCCCAGTGAGGGTCCAATCACACCCACTCTAATCCCAGGATGATTGTAGCCACTCCCAGTCTGATCCCAGTCCCCAGGCAGGGTCCCCAGCCAGCCCCAGTTTGGATGTGCAGCCCCCAGTTTCCCCAGTTTGCCTCTCCTTTGGCCCGGGCCGGGTTCCCCCCTGGAACAGCGGCTGGGAGCAGCCGAGAGCCCCGCGCTGCCCATCCCGACCTGTCCCGGCTCCATCCCCGCTCCTGCCGCGGGCTGCCGGGGCTGTGGGAACGGGAACCGAGGGTGTCGCTGCTGCTGGGGGAGGAGGAGGAGGGAGGGAAGGGCACGGATGAAGGAGGAGAACCAGAACGGATGGGAATAGGAGAAGGAGGTGGGCTTAGGGAGGAGGAGGAGAAGGGATGGATGAGGAGGTGCAGGAAGAAGAGGAGGGACAAAGGAGAATCAAGGAAAGGAGAAGGAACAATGAGGTTGAGGACTCCCTGAATTCCCAGTCCCCTGGGAGCATCACCCCCCATCCCACAGGTGAACAGGGAGGGGGAGCTCGGCCCAGATATCCTGGGGGGTCCCTGGGTTGGGTTTTTTTGGGGGGATGTTTGGAGAACAAAGAACTGCGAAGCTGAGCAGATAAGGCCCCTTGGGGGGACACTGGGGGGTCCCTGCCGGCAGAGGCAGCCTGGAGGAGCAGAGCTCTGTGTCCCCCCAAGTCCGAAGTGGGGAGCCTGGAGCGGGGGAGCGCCGCCATTGGTTGGAGCCCCTGCAGCCAAGAGCAGAGAAGAAGGGATAGAAGGGAGCCTGGGAGCCCAAAACCCCTAGCATCCCTAAGTGGGGAGATGGAAAAGGGGGAAACTTTTTTGATTGCTGGGACTCCCAGCAGCCTGGGGAGGGGGGAGACCAAGTAGATGGGGGACCCCCAATACAAGCGTGACCCCCAGCAGCTGGGACGGGGGGAACCTCGAACACCAAAGAGGAGAGACCAGAGACAGGGAACTCCTGGGAGGCATTTTCAGGGTTGAATCTGGGTGTTTGGGAGGTTTTTATAGAGCCCAAATGGCCGGTGACTTCTAGAGATGGGCTTGGGGAGAGGGAAATTCAAATTGAACGTGCTCATCCCTTGTTTTCCCTAAACCAAGATTTCCAATTCCCAGCCCCTGGGAGGCTGCAAGGAAGAGGAAGATGCCCCATGACCCCCAGGCAGGTGAGGAGGAAGTCAGTGCCCCTTTCCCCCTCTCCTGCTCCATCTCCCAGCCCAGCACGGCCCCGGATGCAGGACAGCCCCGCTGCCGGTGCCCTCTTGCTGGGATTGCACTGAGGGGATCTCCTTGCCCTTCCCTCTGGCACAGAGGCAAATCCCATCCTCTCCTTGTCCTTCCTCTCCCAGACGGAGCTGAGGATGGAGAGCAGGGAGGACAAATCCCCACGGCAGAACCTCATGGAAGAGGCCGATTTGAGTGGCTCCATGGCACAGGAATCCAACAGGGAGGAAAAGCCCTGGAGATCCCACAGGAGGAGGGGCTGCAAACCCAGCCCAGGGTGCTCTGAGGAGGAAAGACCCACCCTGTGCCAGGAAGGTGGGCAGAGCTTCAGCCAGAGCTCAGAGCTGGTGGTCCCTGAGAAGCTTCATGATGGGGAGAAGCCCCACAAGTGCTTGGACTGTGGGAAGATCTTCAGGCAGAGCTCCGACCTGATCTGCCACCAGATGATCCACACCGGGGAATGGGCCTATGAGTGTGGGGAGTGTGGGAAGGGCTTCAGCTGCAGCTCAGAACTCATCAGGCACCAACGCATCCACACTGGGGAGAGGCCCTGCGAGTGTCCCGAGTGTCAGAAGAGGTTTCGGACCAGCTCCAATCTCCTCCTGCATGAGTGGATTCACACGGATGAGAAGCTCTTCTGCTGCCCCGACTGCAGGAAGGGCTTCAAGCACAGCTCCCACCTCGTCATCCACCAGCGCATCCACACCGGGGAGAGGCCCTACGAATGTCCCCAGTGTGGGAAGAGCTTCTCCAGGAGCTCTCAGTTGACCAAACGCCAACGGAGGCACCAGCAAGGGAAACCCTGTGAGTGCCCCAGCTGCAGGAAGAGCTTCGTGTCATACTCCAACTCCATCCCCCTTGGGAGGACCCATGTTGGTCACAGCCCTGGTGACCCACATTCCCAGTGATCCTTGCTGAGAAGACACCTGTAAGGTGGTCTCCACGTCCTCCTGGATCCCCATAGGCCCCTGGATGAACGCAGGGGCAGGAACATCCATCAAGACTCTGATCTAAACAGGAAATTCATTGTGAGGAAGTGATTTGTTGACTTTACACCCCCAAAAATCTCACCTGCTCTGTCCAGTTATTTCTTCTGATGGCATCAAGCAGTGCTGCATGATCTTGGAGGTCTTTTCCATCTAAATAACTTCTTTCTTCACCCTGTCTAAACAACCAAAACTGGGATGAAAATAAAGAAATTAAACTAAGATATCTTAACTTGCACCTTTTACCAGGATTTGGGGTTGAATTTGGGGTTGGTTCAATGGAATATTTGTGAGGATTTGGGTGTTCTGAGGCTATCAAAGCCAGGGGACATGTCTGCAATCTCAGAGGTGTGCCAGCAGAACGTGTCCACCTGAGCGCACCTGTTCTCCAAAAATTCTGTCTGTCCCAGTCCCTGGCCTGGGTCTCCCCATTTGGGATGTTCTCCCAAAGTGCCCAAATCGTTGCTGAAGTGCCTGAGCTGATCCTGGCTGTAAATGTTCCTGTCCACCAACCTCTCCTGGTCAGTGCCATGGAGGTGGAAGGGCTTCTGTCAACCTTGTGGGCATTTGTGGTGCTGGGAGGAGGCTTGGGAGGCTGTGTGAGGGAGGTTTGGGTCCCAGACAGGGCTGTGTCAGGGCTTGGAGAGAATTTGGGTGGGTCTTGGGGGAGATGGAAAGGGGTTTTGGTGGTTCTTGGGGACATTTATCTTGCAGGGAGTAGTTGGGGGGTCCTGGCTGGGAGCTGTGGGGTGGTTTGAGGAGCCTGGGAGTGGCTGTGGGTCTGGGAGGGGGATTTTGGGTAGTCATGATCCCCCAGAACCCCAAAGCAGCCACCAGACCCCACCCCCCATGATGGTGCCGGGGGGTCGGTGGCTCCATGTTGGGGCTCATCCTCCTGGCTCTGAGGAGGGGTCCCCAGGGGCTGTGTGTGTCCCCCCAGAGCGTGTGTGCCCCCCCCCCCATCCCGGTGTCACCCCCTTGTCCCTCCCCACAGGGCTCCTGCCCCAGCTCCTGCTCCCCAGAGGGAATTTGGGGAGGGGGCAGAGGGGGTGTGCAGCCCCCGCCGGAGGATGACCCCGGCCCAGCCCCTTTGTTCAGCACCAAGCTGGGCTCGGGGCCGCAGGAGGAAGAGGCCGGTGGGAAGCAGATCCTGCAGCTGGCACAGTCCTTGGGGTCAGGGGAAGGTCCTGCCCTGCACACCTGGCTCAGGTGTGACCCTGCCCCGGCAAGGGAACGGCACATTCCCATGCCCTCGGATCAGGGCTGGGAGCAGCACTTGGAGCAGGGACATGGAAATACTGGGAGTGACTGGGAGCACACTGAGAGGGGGAATTATTGCCCCCTCCCCTTCTCAGGCTGCCCTGCCAGATGAGAAATGCTCGCTGGGCCTCAGCCTTGGCCAGCAGCCCCTGGGCTCAGCTCCTCTGGAGCTCATCACAAACACGCTCTGCTCCAGGCACTGCTGCTGCCCAACCATCTCCTGGGTGCTTCAGGAGCAGCCCTGGGAACTGTTTGTGTTCCCTCAGTGGCACAACATCCCTGTTCTCACCCTGCCAAAGAAAGCTGCTGATGCCAAGTGCGGCCAGGGTGAAACATGGCTGGGACTGAAGCCCCTCTCTTGGGGCCCTACAAACAGCGCTCCAAAAGGAGACCTTGGAGCTCTCCTGGGCCAGCGACTCCCTCTGAGTGGGGCCTCTCCGAGCCGGGAACTCTCCCGTTTGCTGCACTCGGGGGATCCCGAACAACAAGGGAGCCTGGGCCGATCCCCCCACTCCTCCAGGCTCAACCCTTCCCCACTGGGGAGATGCCAAAGCATCCACAGGGAGCATTTCCCTGCCCTCAGGGGAATTTCTCACAGGTGCCCTGCACTGACTCTCTGTGTCTGTGTGCACACAGGAGTGCCTGTGCTGGGGAAATGTGGCAGAAATGCTGCTCTCTGAGGGCTCTGAGTGCCTTGCATAGCTGAGCCAGTCAGGACTGTGAGTAAGGTTAAATCATGAGGCCTAAGCTAAGTTAAATGCTGCTAAGAGTTGTTATTTTTCTAAGTTGTTATGCTTAATATGAGTTATAAGCTGAGTTAAATACTGTTAAATGCTATTTTGCTGTTAAATTGCAAAGTTATAGGTTATAAGTTAGGTTAAATACTGTTAAGCTCTGTCCATTGCTAAATGGTGAGGTTGAAGGTAGAAGTTAAGGTTAAGGGAGAAGTTAAGTCCTGTTAGGTTCGAGCTATGTTAAGCTTTTATCACTTTATTCCTTTTATCCTTGCCCTCACTGTCCTTGTCTCACACACACACAGGGACAGTTCCCGGTTCATTTCTGATTTGATTGCCTGGATTCTGTTAAGTTTTGTTGTTGCTTTGTTTCCTTGGTGTGCCTGAAGTGTCCAGTCAGGAGCAGAGTGCCTCTTTGTGGTGCTGTCGCTTAATATTAAATCTGGTTTTTGCTGCTCCCTTGCCAGGGATTTTTTCAGCGCTCTCAAGGCCTCGTTGGTAACAGGGTGAAGGAGCCCTGGCCCAGGCTCTGGCCCTGGGGGACACGGGGACGCTGCCGGGGGTTCCCTGTCCCCCTGTCCCACCCCCCATGGCCCCAGGCCCCGTCCCCATGTCAGGGTCTGGGGTCGATCTCATGGAACATCCTCTGGGGGAGGCTGCGGCGCTGGGGGCGGGGGGACCCGGGGGGACAGGGGACCCCACTGTGCATGAGCAGTGTTGGACTTCTCTGGGGGAAAGTGGGAGGGGGCTGGGGCAGAGTGACCTCCCCAGTGACATCACACAGCCCCAGTGAAGTCACACACCTGGCCTGTGATGTCACACAGCCATCTCTGTGATTTCACCCTCTGATGCCATACAGCAGTGCTGTGATGTCACAGAAAACCGTGATGTCACAATGTCATCCTGTGCTGTCACAGTCTGTTCTGTGATGCTACACTGTCCCTGTGATGTTACACAGCCACCTGGTGATCTCACAACCCTCTCTCTGATGCCACAGAGCCACTCTCTATGATGGCAAAATCTGCTCTATGGCCTCACACCCTACTCTGCGATATCACAGCCAGCTCTGTGGTTTCACAACCCCCTCAATGATGTCACAAAACCCTCCCTGTGATGTCATACTGCCACTCTGTAATGTCACAGCATACACTTTGACCTCAGAGCCTGCTCTATGATGTCATATAGCCATGCCATGATGTCACAGCCTGCTCTGTGATGTCACACAGTCCCCTCTATCATGCCACAGCTGCTCAATGACCTCACACAACACACTCTGTGATGTCATAGCCCAATCTGTGACCTCTCAGAACCCACTCTGTGTTGTCACACAGCCCCTTTCTGACATCACAGCTGCTCTGTGCCTCTGTGACACAGCCACAGAGGTGCTGCTGTGACACAGCCCGCTCTGGGACATCCCACAGCCCCTGCCGGTGCTGAGCCCCTGTGAGCCCTGTCTGTGCCCTGCTCGTGTCTCTGGGATGCCCTGGCAGTGCCCCAGCCCTGCTGGGCTGTGCACAGGAGCTGCTCCTGGCCAGAGCTGTCTCTGTGCAGCACTGCCCTTGCCAGGAGCTGCCTCTGGGCCAGGAGCCCGGCCCAGCTCAGCAGCACAGACACAGCACAAGGACTTCAATGACCCTCTGGGGCTGTGGTGCTGTTTGCATCAGACCCAGTCCCTCAGACTGTGCTCAAAGAACTTCTCAAGAACTCCAAGTCAATTTCAAAGTCCAAACTTTCTTTAATTTTAATGGGTCCCACCAAAGGACACAAGTCATGTGAAAGTGTCCCCAGGTTCCAGTTTGAGCAGAACACTGGAGGCACTGATGACAGATGAGGACAAGCAAGGGAAAGGTGTCTCTGGTGCTGACCAAACCTGGATGTGTTTCAGGAATGCAAAGGGCCCAGGCTTGAGCCTCAGCCCCTGGCAAGGCAGATCCTGTCCCTCCCTCATTGCTCAGGGCTCTTCCCGGGATGGGCACTGGGATGTGGGGATGTGCCATGCCAAGGGCAGGACCATGGGGCGGCCCCTGCCAGGCTGCTGAGCAGGGACAAGGAGGCAATGAGGCCCCAGGGCTGCAAGGGTCACTTGTCCCCTCGTGGCCTCAGGCCCAGGGCCAGCAGCCATGGCCAAAGTGCGGCACAGGTTGGCTCTGTCAGGGCCTTGCAGCTGCTGCACATCCCTGTGCCCTCTGCAGCCCAGGCTGTCCCACGGTGTCCCTGCCCTGCGCCTCTGTCCCTGCAGGCTGTCGTCATCCCCCGGCTGCCCCACCTCGCTGGCCCCTTCCTTTGCTGGCAGCTCTGCCTCCTGCTGCCCCTGCCTGGCCACACAAAGGCTTGGCCTTGATACCAACAGGGTTAATTCTATTTTTATAGTGCCTGTGAACTTTTAACACAGGAACAAAGCATGCAGGAGCTGCTTTTCCAGCAAGGACGGTTGGAAGTGTAGAAGACATCTGGCTCAAGAATGCAGTTATAGAAAATGCAAGGACTGAACCTGGGAACTTGGGGTGGGTTTTATGGAAATGGGTAAATTGTAATACACATTTAGCGACTGTGTATAAGCAACACACTGGTAGAGTTACATGTCCACATAAGGTTAGGAGTTATCCCTCACTGTTGAAGACCACCCTAGGTCACGGGGTGGCTTCGTGTGGTGGAAAAATCTCTCCTCCAAGCTGTGCTTCCGAAGAAAGGCTCAGCAGTCTCTTGTTGTTCGGTCTCAAGGTAGTTTATTGCAAGTTATCTAAAAGATTTTCTTCTCGGGCTGCTGCGGTTTGCTCAGCAGCTCAGGCAGAGGCACACACACACCCTGACATCCTCTCTGTCCCCTGACTTCTTCTCTCCCCCAGCCCAGGGCTGCTGCTATCTTTTAAATGGTACATTACGTATTACATGTTTGCAGTTTTTCCCCAATACCTATTACCTATATTAAATGGTGCTTTTCTGCTCTACACCAATCTGTGAGTGCCAACATCACCAAAAACATGGAGGTAAGGAAGAAGAAAGAGGGAGGACAGGACAGGTCTAGATCCCTCCATCTTAAAACTTCTGACCCCCGTGTACAAAACAGAAACCCCCCTGTACAGGTGTTATAACGCCTCTGTACAGCACTCAAAAATTCTTCCCTCTACTTTGTAACTACTTCTACTATAATATCTAAACTTTTGTGACTTCTTGTTTCACCTGCAAAGTTGGTAAATCATTCCATGGCTCAAACTCAAAATCAC